TACTGAAATATTTTCAACCTTTTGATGATATTCTAATTTACTGGCCAGCACCTGTGTATATATATATATATATATATATATATATATATATATATATATATATATATATATATATATATATATATGTATATATATATATATATATATGTATATATATATATATATATATATATATATATATATATATATATATATATATATATATATATATATATATATATATATATATATATATATAGCCATGCCCTGATGTGGGGGTGTGTTGACATGGTCGGGACATAGAAGGGGGTGTGTGGCTAAATAAGGAAACCGCTGATATACAGTGTAGAGGATGGCTTGCCAGGCTAGACCAGCTAAAGCCAAACACAGCTGGTTAGGGTGAGAGTTCCCCTGTTTCTGTTTGCTCATTGCACAGAAATGTCAGTTCATCTCAGCTGGCTCAAACACAAGTCAGACCTAAAGTGTTAGTTTTCACTTAGACTCGAAATGTTATCGCTCTCTTGACACAACTGTTTTAGTTAAACGTTAGAAGTGTGTTCCAAGATGGTGGTGTAGCAGAAATACCTCAAACGCAAAGGCATTGATATGATTAAGTTCCTTCTCCTTGTTTGTTGGGTTTCTGCAACAATCAGTGTGTCTGTGAATCTTCTTGGGGCCATGTTTCATTACTCCATCACTGCTTGTGTCTTTGCTTGAATGATAATGAGGAGGAGCAGTGGCTATTAATAAAAACATTTTACTCCAGGGAATCAGTTTCTTACAGTCAAACTGGAGTAGACAGTGCAATGACACGTTTTCCCAAGTTTCTCACATTTGCTTTGTCTGGGGAAATTAAGCCAAACATATTTCAGAGAACAGAACATTTCTGGCCACGTTAAAGTGCATGTTTGTGTAAAACATAAATATGTACCATCTTAAACATTGTATTATGTTTTCCTGAACCGCCCCTGACCCATTGACATTACGGTAAACTCGGTCTGTGCCGGGCGGAGTGATTGCATTGATGTTAGCATTGTCCGTGCATTATTTGTACAGAGCTGACCGCTTCTTTCGGCCCAGCTTCTCTGTGGTCTACTTCATGCTGAGCTGACCCAACGCACCCACCTATGGACCGATTGGCCAACTGAAACGATGTCACTCTCACACCTACCTAATAGTGGGAGCCTCAGATTGGCGTGGGTACTATCTGCCAGTGGCAGCTTCCCACCCGCATATAAATGAATTTTGCATAAATCTTAACCTTTGAACCCCAGGAACCATAAAACTACTGTACAAATAAAAGTCTGATGGACAATTGACAGCAGTCTTAAAGATTCTAAAATAACAATACATGACTAAATAGGAAATGATGAAAAAAAAAAATGTTAATAATCCTAAGAAAAATGTCAGAATTCTGACTTTTGTCTCAAAATTCTGTTTCTAGTCTAAGAATTCTCATCATTTCTTTCCTCAGAATTCTGTCTAAATTCTCACTTTAACCCTCTGGAGGCAGGCGTTGCAGATTTTCAACTTGAAAACCTACCTACCTGGTTACTTCACACACGTATTTCATGAGCATTTTTAAACTCAGAAGTACCCCTGAAGAACTTTGTTGTTCGTCCTTTTATCAAAACTTATTTTGAGCCTGAGATATTTAATATTCCTGAGAAAAAAGTCAGAAGTCAGAGCTTGAAGTCAGAATTCTAACTTTTGTCTTCGTCTTTAATCTAAGAGTTCTCACCTTTTTTCCATAATTCTAACTTTTTCCTCAGAATTCTGCCTTAATTCTCAGATTTCTAACCTTATTAATCCTGAAAAAAAAGTCAGAATTCAGAATTTAACGTCAGAATTCTTCGAAGGAAGTCAGAATTCTAACTTTAAAGAGGGCAGAACTGCACTTGGCTGCTCTTGGTTAGCTTAGCCAGTACTGTCAGACATAAAGGCTTTTTGTCTGATAAGAGGCTTAAAAAACATCTTTCTTTGTGTGTGTGTGTGTTCTGTCTGGCTGTGAAGCAAACAGAATAGACCCTGCGCACGAGAAAATGCTAACTTCCTGTTTTGAGACCGGATGTAGAGTTGTTTATTTCCGCTAACTTTTTTGTGCATTTGTTTTGCTGTATCGCTACTGTTCGCTGACTCAAAAGTCATGTCAAAATTACAAAAACGGAATGATCGCATTAAGCTACAAAGAGCAGAAAGTGGGAACACTCATCACTGCTGTGTCCCGCTGTGTACTGCTGGGGGAGATTTAACAAAACCATTAGTTTTCACTCCTTTCCAGATCCTGAGTTGCGGGCACAATGGCTGATAAAAGTCAGACGGGACCGCTTCAGAGTTACGGCCATCTCTAGAGTGTGTAGTCGGCATTTTGAGACTGGCGAGATCTTCTTGTCTTCCTCTGGAAAGCGATGTCTTCAGCCAAAAGTTGTTCCGTCGTTATTCCACTGGAATGACTACATGAAAAAGTCAGAACGACCCGGAGTTTGGGAGCGCTGCTCTCGGCCTGTTGACACCGTGGCTATGGCAACCGAGGACAACAACACAGAGGATGGAAACACCGATATCCCTATCGCGGGTTATGCTGAGTCTGATCCAGCCTCCACCCCCATGACTGAAGATCAAGATTATGCAGCAAGCTCTTTGATTGTCGTAGATCGCATTAAATACGAATCTATGTCAAGGGAGATCGAGGAGCTCAGGCAGCAGCTTGAGTCATACCTTCTCACTCAGGGGTTTGGACTGCAGCGATTTGCCACATCACGCGATGACATTCAGTACTATACAAGGTAAGTAATCCTGAAGGTTTTAAGTTACCCTACATACTTATACCATTGTAGATCTATCTATCTATCTATCTATCTATCTATCTATCTATCTATCTATCTATCTATCTATCTATCTATCTATCTATCTATCTATCTATCTATCTATCTATCTATCTATCTATCATCTATCTATCTATCTATCTATCTATCTATCTATCTATCTATCTATCTATCTATCTATCTATCTATCTATCTATCTATCTATCTATCTATCTATCTATCTATCTATCTATCTATCATCTATCTATCTATCTATCTATCTATCATCTATCTATCTATCTATCTATCTATCTATCTATCTATCTATCTATCTATCTATCTATCTATCTATCTATCATCTATCTATCTATCTATCTATCTATCTATCTATCTATCTATCTATCATCTATCTATCTATCTATCTATCATCTATCTATCTATCTATCTATCTATCTATCTATCTATCTATCTATCTATCTATCTATCTATCTATCTATCTATCTATCTATCTATCTATCTATCTATCTATCTATCTATCTATCTATCTATCTATCTATATATATATATGTGTGTGTGTGTGTGTGTGTGTGTGTATACTGGTTTTTAAAATAATTTCATGATGGCACCCCTTTGTTTCCATTTAAGTTTGATCTGAAAGTTTGCAATTGCTCCAGAAAAATAAAATTTACGCCCACCATTTAAACGCAGATTTCCATCATACGAGCATCTCAGAATCAGAATCAGAATAAGCTTTATGCCAGCGCTCCAGCGACCCCGAGCATAGGAACTTGACTCCGCAACACAACCTGACCAAGGTTAAACACACACACACATGTAGACAAAAACAGGTACAGGCAGTCACAAGAGCAGCCAGAACGGCGCTCATTTCATTAGATGAAAAGGGTGTTACATGAGGATAATTGGGGTAAGGTAAAAAAAAAAAAAAGGCATAGCAGAGTTAGTCCCAGCAGGGAGTAACTCTATTATACAAAAAACTACATACGTTTTTTTTTTCTCTCTTCCAGAAATTGTTGCCTATTGACGAGCTGTCTCTGTTCCTCAGTTATCTGGCAACCGGCTGTACACAAAGGGAACTTTGTCACAAGTTTAACATCCACAGAGCTACAGTGAGTAGAATACTTGTGTCATGGTCCAACTTTTTGTACACCTTGCTTGGATCTGTCTCCATCTGGATGGTGCCTGACAGAGTGAGAGAGAACTGCCCCAAAGATTTCAGTGGCCCTTACAACAATACTCAGGTCATTCTTGACTGTACTGAAATGAGGTGCCAAACACCCTCCTCCCTTCTGCTCCAGAGCGAGGCGTTTTCAGCTTACAAGTTGAACTGTACCTTCAAAGTGTTGATTGGCATGTCCCCCCATGGAAGACTCACATTTGTCTCAGCACTTTTTGAAGGCTCCATAAGTGACAAAGAAATTTTCCGTCACTCCTGCATCTCCTCCCTCCTAACGCCCGAGATGGATGTAATGGTGGACAAAGGGTTTCTGATCAATGAGCTAGTGCCTGGGAAAGTCCATCGCCCAGCCTTTTTGTCCAAGCAAGCCCAAATGTCAGAGGTGGAGGTGCTTAGAACCCAGTCTGAGGTTCCACGTGGAGAGGCCCATCGGGAGGGTTAAAGAAAACAAACTTTTTGACACAGTCATCCCTCTTTCCATTTCTGGAAGTATTAACCAAATTTTACTGTTATATGTCTCCTCACAAACTACCAATACGGACCCCTGGTCAAAAAATGGGTGCTCGAGTAAAAGCTTGAAGTCGGTATTGTCTGTTTAGTAGTAGGGAGAGGTAGCCAGTATTTGGAAAAATAATCTGCAGTTCTTTTCGTTACTGAATACAAAATTCTTACCTTTAATATTGAAATGGAGATGAAAGTGTTACTACTAAGTTTGAGTAACTGTTTTATGGTTTTGTAATATGTATTTTAAATTCATGTATTTGGTTATTCCCCAACAATAGAAGTAGCTGATTTTGTTTTTAAGTAAAATTGATGAAGAGCTAACACACCCCTTCCATGGTTAAATAAAGTTCAATGATAGATGTTTTATTGTTTACTTTGCAAATAAAACCGCCTTCCTTTAACAGCACTGTCATTTGCTCTGTTGTGTGCTTCTTATTGACTGCAATAGATTTAAAAATGATAAATACTATTTTTCTGGAATTCGGAAATAAAAACTCAATTTTCAAATGATCAACTATATTTTAACATACTGTGAATTTTATAACAGCAAACATATGAACATTTATGTAATGGTTTAAACACAAACTCTGCAGATATTAATGCATAAAAAAATTGAACAACATGGAAAATAATACAAATGCCTTTGCAGACCATGTGTGTTGATGACATTTAAGTCAGGAATAACAAGCTAACCATTTATGACAGTGCAAGGAATTTGTCCATGAACACATGAAAATAGAACATGTCTATCTTACTCTTCATTGTCTCCATCACACCCTCATCCCTCTGTATTCTTTGGATGAACACATCTTCTTGAGCAGAGACCACACATTCACACCAACTCATCCCTGTAGTTAGCAGCTGGCCCTGAACTTGCCAATAATAGGCATGTGATGGTTTAAGCTGCAATGTCCCACTGATGACCTTGAGGTAAGGTGCGTCTACATAATTTTTAATGTTTGGACATTTTATTTATAAATGGCCAAATTGAGGTTGCTCTAAAGGGTAAAAAATGATACCATCTGGTGATGCACCAATCCATGGTGCAGCCGGGTGCACCACAAATCCACATTTGTAATGGTTAACTCGTTTTATCTGGCAGTATTCCCAGATAGCATCTGCCTCTAACTCTAAACCCCTCTTCATTGGGCCTGTCTGGCGAGTACCTTTCAAGATGCGTTCAGCCAGCAGCTCTTCGGAGAGCTCACCCACATGACAGATCTCTCTAAATCGAGATGCAGTCACTTGTGGTCTCTGTACATTGTGCCAGTCGGCTCACACACACTCTGCTCTCGCGTAGCACATTCTATGCCCTGGGACATATCGAGGGTTACCTCAAGACTTTTCATGTGCAGCTGTTGCTTCCTGGAACAGACAAACATGCATTCTGATGGTTTCAGTCTGTAGTCTTGCAGGGGCAATGGTGGAGGAGGTGGAGCATTATGGAGGGTCTTCACTTTCTCTTTGGGTGGTTGCTGATAAGAAAGTGGACTTCCTTGTTGCACTTTGCCGAGCAGTGAGTCCACCAGTGGGATGTCTTCGCCTATTCCCATGCTGCAGATCATAGGCCGGTCAGCATCGGAGAAAGGTTGGTAGACTTCAGAAACCCGCAGAACCGAGAGGTCAGGAAGGGCCCAGTGAAGGCCTTTGTACAGTTTGCTCCTGAATGTTAAGAACACACATACAGAAAATTGTAATCAATACATAAATGTTGAAACCAATCACATTTATTACTTGGTAGGCCCTATAACTCACTATATTACCTCTGATGGCGTGTTTGAATCTGAAGCTCCTGTGCATGCGTCAAAAAACCTCTCACGGCATGCTAGTGTGCCGCGGCACAGTGGTTGAAAAACACTGATCTAGAGCCCTGTGTTAGGAAGCCCAGAGTAGTGAACCTTTTTTGATACAAGCTTCAGGTGATTCAGAAAACTTCATTTAGCCATCACTATATATATCACCATGAGAATCTGCCGTTTGAAAACAGTAAACAAACTGCCCCCCATTCTGTATTAAATATTATTGCCCTATAAAATGCTGTGATATTATCTGAAACCCCATCAGTAGCCAGTACTTACCGCACTCCCTCTGTGGTCTTTCTTGTTTTGGGTTTGGCTGAGAGGACAACCATCTTCTCCACAGGGCCAGGCTTTATCCCCTATCAAACTATGGTCAAAATAAATGTAATGTATAAAGTTACATAAAAAATATTGTGACGATTGGACTCACCGTAACTCTCGGCTTATGCCACTGTTGTTCACCTTTAGTGCAGCTTAACATTGGGGGAACAACTTGGACTTTGAACTGCGAATAGTGTGCAGATTGAAAGAGAAGAGCAACACAGTGGTTGCATAAAGCTTTTCCAGCCTTACACATGCAGGCGAAGTCCAGCAGTTGCACAGGCTGTGAATCTTTCAGTACCACCTACAAAGTACAATATTTCAATGTATTTAATATAAATATTGAATATCCCTAGAAATATAATCAATTTCTAAAGATAGCATGTTTGTCAAATGCACTAATTTCTGAGCACGTCCCTGATATGACAGCCTGACATGATCCTAGCAACATCCTATAATTTGCATCCAACCTTTTCATTATACACTCTGAACACAACAATTTCACACTGCCTCTTTTTAAGATCTTACGCTGAGTTTGTGAGCTTTCTCGGTCTTCTTCATGGACAAGAAGCATTCTGCCCTGACCACCACCTCTCCTGTGCCGTGATTGTTTTCAGACGCGGCAGAAAAACAAAACTTTTAGTAAAGTTAGTAACAGAATGACGTTAGTCGGTAAGTTATAGGTGCAGGAACTGTAATACAAAGATAATATATACAGAAACTTGAAGCAGATATTTTCATGAAAAAAAAACATCAAATGATCAATTTTTACGTTTGAAGAGTGATCGATGTTTTTTTTTTTTTTTTACCGTGTCCTGTCTGGCTGTGAAGCAAGCAGAATTGATGTGTGAATGCTGGTAACAAGCCTTACAGATTTACTCTCAGGTGGAGCATCAAAGCGTTTGCTTTTAATGTCACGCCTGATACTTAAAACTTTATTGTTATTGTTGTTGAATGCTTTGTAATTCCGACCAGACACGGAGACAGAGGTGAAAGAGAAAGGAAAAGAAAAGGTGGGGAGGGGGGGGGGTCCACAAAATAAACAATAATGAACAAGAGTCTGCTTCTAGACCTGCAGAAAGAGACCAAAAAAAAAAACAAAAGGGAAAAAAAGGGACACAACAACAATACAACAAGATCAAGCTATCACTGCGTCAACTTGATGATGAAATATAAAATCAACATTGCTTAACTGAACAATCACACGATAATAAATCACAGTGCATTTAGTGCCCGCCATAGTCTTAAGACATGTGTTGAACGTGCCCAAGCCCATACTTATGAGAGCACCATGTGAGCACCTGTGTGTGTACACGCGCTTGTTTATTTAAGGTTTCTCTATAGGAGCGCCCAACAGAGAGTGTGAGGGGCCACAGATCCACCCCCCAAAGATGCACAGGAGATGGGCGGAGCTCCAAGTCTCAGAGATCCAGGCGCTGCCCCAGAACACAGGAACCCCAAGGTGACTGCAACCAGAAAGGCCCCCGGCCCCCTCGAGAGGCACAGAGGATCGCCCCGGGGGGCCACAACCAGCAGCTGGCAGAGTCCCGGGAGATATCGGCGGCTAGCCCACAGGCCCGCCCGCAGCCTCCCACCCCCTAGCCGGCCGAGCCCGGGACCCAGCGACCCGGGACCCAGGGGTGACCACCCCCGCCGGGGACCCAGCAGAGCCCAGGGACCCAGACCCCACCAGGCAGCCACTGGGATCTATCCGGCAGATGCCAAAATCTTAAACCCCCAGACCCGGTTGCCACAAACACTCAGGCAGACCAAGGAACAGCCCCTCACACCAGGTGTGGCAGGGGGAGGGGGGATGAAGATCTATATCATCATAAGAAGTTCCAGGAGAGGGGAGGAGTCAAAGGCCCCACCTGACATATACAGTCATACACAAACACAGTCACACACTCCCTCCCTCATGCTCACACATGCACATACAACCAAAGACTTACAAAAATGCACGCCGGACACCCACTCATGCTCCCCATACACACCCTATTCACTCTGGTCCCGGTACTGCTGCACACTGGGTACAACATTACCGGTAACCAGAGTTTGACCCTTTCTGCTGGGGTGCTGATGAGCAGGCCCCCCCGCCCAACGCTCAGCACAGCAACCCACCACCCCAGACCCCAACCAGACGGCCAGATCCCCCTCTTAGCCTCCAGCCCCAGTAAGCCAAGCAACAACAGAGGTGGCTAAGACCCCCTAGTCTCCCTCCGCCTGCTCCAATATAGTGTTGTGTGATCATGAGGTGTACTACATGGCTGTGGTGAGTGGGCAGTGCGGGCATCATCCGGCCTATGCCAGCTGATGCCACCGCACCACCCCACTTACACCCTCAGCCCTCGGTGTCTAAGTGCGGTTTAAAATTGGAAGTGGGCACCGGCACCCGGGAGGAGCCTGAGATATCCCCCTGCTAAGTGCCGTGGAATGTGCTCACTCCCAAGACCCTAAGTGTGTGTTTGTGTGGAATGTCGTCAGTGGAAGTGTATAAGGTGCAAATAAAATTGGGGGGCAGGTTGCCACAGGAATGCGGAAATGGGATCCATACCCGCACTCCCTGATTTGCCCACCCCCCAAGGTCCTATGTGTATGTTTGTGTGATGATGTGAGGGAGCAGGAGGAGAGAAATATGCGGGGATGGGGAGGAATGGCTGGTTGGGCTTAGCCCTCCAGGGAGCCAGCTCCCCTACTGGCCCCAATAGGCACCTCTGTTGTCAAAATGTCACACAGGGCATGGAGACCCCAGCCCATCCTGCCAGGGCCCAAAGCAGCAGCATTACAGAGCCTCACGGAGTCCGAGGGCACCAACCCAGCCCCACCCCAGCAGAATATCTATGCCCATCCCTGCATTTGCACAACTTCCAGAATATATAAGACATGGGACATCCAGGTAAGGTTGGGTCCTCCCCCTCCTGGACCTCCCCCTCCCCTGTGATGGAATGGCAGAGGAGCAATAAATATAACAAGGTCAAAATAAATATAACATATAAAGTTACATAAAAAATATTGTGACGATTGGACTCACCATAACTCGGTAAGTTATAGGTGCAGGAACTGTAATACAAAGATAATATATACAGACACTTGAAGCAGATATTTTCATGAAAAAAAAATCAAATGATCAATTTTTACATTTGAAGAGTGATCGATTTGTTGTTTACATCACTCAACACACAAGCAGAAATGCATTACAAAATGAGAAGACACATCGTCTACATTAAGGAGCGCATCTCTGTATAGTGACAGTTAATATGCCTTAAACAGGCATTCAAACTACGGGGGAACGTTAGTCAACAGCCAGATGTTCCCCTGCTACACTCAGATGAGCTAACCCTAACCAAACAACCACACAGCATATCAACAAACCGTGAAAAAAGCCAAAAGATAAAGAAAATAAATGGCTGTTTCGGTGTTAAGGGTCTCTATATATTAGTATTAATGAAGGATGTGTTGTTGTGACTTACCTTTGAAATTATACAAATACTGAGAGATGTAAAATTTGAATCCTTTCTCTCTTTTGCTCTGAGGCGCGGGGGAAAAAAATCAACAAGTCGATGAACATCATCTACAGATATATTCGGCAAATGTCCGAAACATCTTGAGAAGTTTAAATCGCCGCTTAATTCAGCCATTTGGCTGACTTCTGATGGAAAACCCGACTGTAAATCCTAGCGTAAACATGCTCCGGCAAACCTGCAGTGGCTCACAACGGAAGCGAAAGACTCTACAGGAGTTTTTCCCCCGGAAGTAGCATATGCTAAGATGCACACAGTCTATTGATGTCTGAATGCTGGTAACAAGCCTTATGGATTTACTCTCAGGTGGATTATCAAAGTGTCTGCTTTTAATGTCACGCCTGATACTTAAAACTTTATTGTTATTGTTTTTGAATGCCTTTTAATTACGATCAGACACGAAGACAGGTGAAAGAGAAAGGAAGAGACAAAAGATGGGGGGGGGGGGGGGGGTTCACAAAAATAAAAAATAATGAACAAGAATCTGCTTCTAGACCTGCAGAAAGAGAGAAGAAAAAAAAGGGACACAACAACAATTCAACAAGATCAAGCTATCACTGCATCAACTTGATGATGAACTATATAATCAACATTGTTTAACTGAACAATCACACGATAATAAATCACAGTGCATTAAGTGCCCACCATAGCCTTAAGACATGGGTTGAACGTGCCAAAGTGCATACTTATGAGAGCACCATGTGAGCACCTGTGTGTGTACACGCACTTGTTTATGTAAGGTTTATCTATAGGAGCGTCCAACAGAGAGTGTGAGGGGCCACAGATCTGCCCCCTAAAGATGTGCAGGAGATGGAGGGAGCTCCATGTCCCAGAGATCCAGGAGTTGCCCCAGAGCACAGGAACTCCAGGGAGACTGCAACCAGAAAAGCCCCTGTCCCCCTCGAGAGGCACAGAGGATCACCCCGGGGGGCCACAACCAGCAGCCGGCAGAGTCCCGGGAGATATCGGCGGCTAGCCCACAGGCCCGCCCGCAGCCTCCCACCCCCTAGCCGGCCGAGCCCGGGACCCAATGACCCTGGACCCATGGGCGACCACCCCCGCTGGGGACCCAGCAGAGCCCAAGGACCCAGACCCCACCAGGCAGCCACCGGGATTGATCAGGGAGCCACGACCCAGGCAGACCAAGGCACCGCACTCCACACCAGGTGTGGCAGGGGGAGGGGAGACGAAGATCTATATCATCAAAAGAAGTCCCAAGAGAGGGGAGGAGTCAAAGGCCCCAACTGACATATACAGTCATACACAAACACAGTCACAATTCAAAAATACTTTATTAATCCCAGAGGGAAATTGATTGCTGTAGTAGCTCAGAATAATAATAATAATCAAGTCATCAAAGAGTTGTTCTATATTACAATGGCTGTTGGCAGGAAGGATCTCCAGTAGCGGTCAGTGTTGCAGCCAAACTGAAGAAGCCTCTGACTGAAGACACTCTTCCGTTGTCGGACAGTCTTGTGAAGAGAATGCTCAGGGTTGTCCATCATTTTCTTGATTCTCTGGAGAATCCTTCTTTGCATTATCTCCTCCAGTGGTTCCACAGTCGTCCCCAGAACAGAACCAGCCTTTTTTATTAGGCTGTTGAGCCTTTTCAGGTCCCTGCTTCTGATGCTGCTACCCCAACAGATGATGGCTGAAGAGATTACACTCTCAACAACAGACTTGTAGAAGATGTGCAGCATCTTTTTACAGACATTGAAGGACCTAAGCATCCTCAAGAAGTGCAGTCTGCTGTGTCCCTTCTTGTAAACGGCTTTGCTGTTCTTTCTCCAGTCCAGTCTGTTGTCCAGGTGAACTCCAAGGTATTTGTAGTCCTCAACCACCTCCACTTCTTCTCCCATAATGGAAACAGTGTTTGACTCCACCCTGTTTCTTCTGAAGTCTAAAATCATCTCCTTTGTTTTGTTCATGTTCAATGTCAGATGATTGTTTCCACACCATGGCACAAAGCGCTCCACCAGCTCTCTGTACTCAGCTTCCTGTCCATCTCTGATACACCCGACAACTGCAGAGTCATCTGAGTATTTCTGTAGATGACAGGTCTCTGACTTGTACTGGAAGTCTGAGGTGTACAGGGTGAAAAGGAATGGTGAGAGTACAGTCCCCTGTGGTGCTCCAGTGTCACTGATCGCCTGGTTTGATGTGCAGTTCTTCAGTCTCACAAACTGTGGTCCGTTTGTCAGGTAGTCTTTAATCCAGGCGATAGTTGAGGCCCCCACCTGTGTCTTCTGGAGTTTCTGGCAAAGTACATCAGGCTGGATTGTGTTAAATGCACTGGAGAAATCAAAGAACATGACCCTCACAGTGCTGCCTGCTTTGTCCAGATGACAGTGGGTTGGTTGAAGCAGCTGGATGATGGCATCTTCAACTCCAACTCCATGGCGATAAGCAAACTGCAGCGGGTCCTGATATGTTCTAGTTTGCTTATTCAGGTGGACCAACAGGAGTCTCTCCAAGACCTTCATGATGTGGGATGTCAGGGCAACCGGTCTGTAGTCGTCATTGACTGATGGGCGAGTTTTCTTTGTAACTGGAACAAGGCAGGATGTCTTCCACAGGACTGGAACCTTCTCCTGGGGTCGAGGAACGGGTCCTGACTGTTGTTTGTGCTTATGGGCCAAATATCAGTTCAGAGTACCCACCCTTTTTGGAGTCCCTGGGACGAGTGCTAGATAGTACTCCATCAGGGGACTCCATTGTCCTGCTGGGGGACTTCAATGCTCACGTGGGCAATGACAGCTTGACCTGGTGTCATGGCTCTGCTTTTTCTCTGCTGCTGTGCTCTTAAGTGTTTGCAGGTGAGCAGGTTGGAGAGCCACAGCTGCAGCTGATTACAATCAGTCAGGCCAGAGGATATAAGGAGCGGTGTTGCCACACTTCAGCGCCGGTTGATACTCTATTGTTGGGTACTCTAGCTCTCCTCGCTCCTGTTTGAATCTAGCCTCGTGTTTTTTTTTCTCCCCTGTGCTCAGTTTATCCTCCTTGTCTGCTCCAGTACCAGCCCTGGATTCTTGCCTCTGCTTCCTGCTGCCTGAAGTGGATTATTACCCAACGCCACTCAACTCCTCTGATCTCCCGCTCTCCACTGCTCACCTGTTCTGGATTACTCTACTGCCTGCTATTCCTCTCCACCAAACCATCTCCGGCTCAGACCGGACTTGCCTCCCTCTCCTGCTCAAACCCCCACTTCACACAGTAAGACTCCGCCACCATTACTCCATGGTGTTTTCTTGGTTCTCAGTATTCATTTCATTATCTTCTGTTTTAGAATCGGAATACTCCCCCTGGCCCAGTTTGGATCAGCGCTCTTCGTTCTTGTTAATTTTTTTTATAATAAAACATTTATATTTGTACTCACCTCTCTCTCGGCTAGTGATTCTTTCATGTGGGTTCAAAGACTGCAGCCCGACACGACACCTGGAGGGGTGTGATTGGGAGGAACGGCCCGCCTGATCTGAACTCGAGTGGTAGTCAAACAACTACACAGCGGTGGAGCCCCGGGGGCGGATGAGGTTCGTCCTGGGTATCTCAAGGCTATGGATGTTGTAGGGCTGTCGTGGTTGACACGTCTCTGCAACATTGCGTGGTCATTGGGGGCAGTTCCTGTGGAGTGGAAGACCGGGGTGGTGGTCCCCATCTTTAAGAAGGGTGACCTGAGGGTGTGTTCCAACTATAGGGGGATTACACTCCTCAGCCTCCCTAGAAAGGTCTACTCCAAGGTACTGGAGAGGAGGGTCCGATCGATAGTTGAATCTCAGATTGAGGAGGAGCAAAGTGGTTTTCGTCCTGGCTGTGGAACTGTGGACCAGCTCTATACCCTTGCAAGGGTGATGGAGGGGGCATGGGAGTTTGCCCAACCAATCCACATGTGCTTTGTGGATTTGGAGAATGAGTTTGGTCCGCATATCCGGTAGTAAGTCGGACCAGTTCCCAGTGAGGGTTGAACTCTGCCAGGGCTGCCCTTTGTCACCGGTTCTGTTCATTACCTTTATGGACAGAATTTCTAGGGGCAGCTGTGGTGTGGAGTGTGTCGAGTTTGGTGGCAGGAGAATCTCGTCTCTGCTTTTTGCAGATGATGTGGTCCTCCCAGCTTCATCCAGCTCTGACCTTCAGCCCTTGCTGGGTAGGTTCGTGATCAGCATCTCCAAATCTGAGACCATGGTTCTCGGCCGGAAAAGGGTGGCTTGCCAATTCCGGGTCGGGGGAGAGGTCCTACCTAGAGTGGAGGAGTTTAAGTATCTTGGGGTCTTGTTCAAGAGTGAGGGTAGGAGGGATCGGGAGATCGACAGGCGGATTGGTTCAGCATCTGCAGTGATGCGGACGCTGAGCCGATCTGTCGTGGTGAAGAGGGAGCTGAGCCAGAAAGCAAGGCTCTCGATTTACCGGTCGATCTACGTCCCAATCCTCACCTATGGTCATGAGTTTTGGGTAATGACCGAAAGAACGAGATCGCGGATACAAGCAGCCAAAATGAGTTTCCTCCGTAGGGTGGCCGGGCTCAGCCTTAGAGATAGGGTGAGGAGCTCTGACATTCGGGAGGGACTCGGAGTAGAAGCGATGCTCCTCCGGATCGAAAGGAGCCAGTTGAGGTGGTTTGGGCATCTGGTCAGGATGCCTCCCCGGGGAGGTGTTTCGGGCATGTCCTGCCGGCAGGAGGCCCCCGGGTCGACCCAGGACACGTTGGAAAGGTTACATCTCCCGTCTTGTCCGGGAACGCCTTGGGGTCCTACCGGAGGAGCTGGTGGAGAAGGTTGGGGAGAGGACTGTCTGGAGATCCCTTCCATATCTGAATTGTATGTCCAACTTCAAAGTAGAGGGGAAGACCCTTGGGTGTCCAGGGCGCCCCTCGTGTTGCTACCCAACAATCCTCACTCACCGCAGCATCCACTTGGAGGAAGAGCATATTACTCCATGTCTTCCTTAGGAAAGCTGCATTCTTGCTACGGAAGAAGCTTAGGTGTTGCCATCATTCCTTTTAAATCCCTGGAGTTTTCCTGGATGTATTTCACCCGTGTCTCTCAGTTCTGCCGCGGTGTCCCGCTCGCTCTTTCCCAGGAGAGTGTCTTCGATCTGGGTGCGGAGGTATGTGCTGCCGGGTCGTCCGCTCCACCTTCCACCATCTTCCTTTTCTTTAGGTCCTCGGATGCATCTTGCGCGTTGTTATAAACCACAGGCATGTTGTCATAAACACTCAAAGTCTGGATGGGTACAAGGTTTGGAAGCGGAGTCCCTTCTCTTTTAAAATCCTCCTGGCTGAGTTGTACGCTGTACGTTTAGCTAAAATATCACTAGGGTAGTCTTGGTCAAAATGCATACGTCTTCCTGTCATGGTCTGTGTCTCCTTCTTCCTTATGTCTCCTTGTGTGCTCCATTCCCCTCTAAGAATCCCCTTATGTGTCTCTTTGTGTTCCTCATGTGTCCCCTGGTCTTCAGCCCTCCAGATTATCCCTCCCAGGTCCTGTGTTCCTTTGGTCTCCCCCAGTCACCCCTCTGCAGTTTTTATAGGTTCATCTTTTCATTTTATTAGTCTCTTTAGTATGTTTTCCCACAGGTTTTTGTAGTTTCCCTTCCCCTTAGAATATTAGTTATTTTTTGCTGGCTTTTCTTGTCTTTAGGTTTTTACTCTTAGGTCATGTTAGTTTCCTCCCTGATTAGTTAATTGCTTTCACTTGGTTTCTCTCCCCACACACCTGCAGCCTATCTGCCTCCCATCATGCCCCAGTGTATATAACCATGTCTGCGTCTCTGTCTGTCATTTGGTCATTGTTCTGTTGTCACCTTTGTCTCGTTCCCCCCTCTAGATTTGATCTTTGTTTTTGGATTCTAGGTTTTGTATTTTGGGACTCTGATTTTTGTGTTTTGGCTCCTGCCTTTTTGGACTTATTATTAATAAAATGATTTTTACGTTATTGCTCCACTAAGCGTCATCTGGTTTTCTGCATCTTCGGGTCCTAACCTCCTCTTGGCTCCCCATCGTGACAGAATGACCCAGCGAATAACCCAGATGTATCGCTATTACGGAGAGCAAGAGACCTGCCGGACATTTATCTAGGATGTGGCGAGCTGCGTGGACTTGAACTCCTCTGAGTTTAATAAGGTTTCATACCTGGTGCTCTGCCTGGGAGGCAGAGCCTTGCGGTGGGCCACCCAATACTTCGACATCCACCCCATAGAAAAGGTTTCGTTTTGGCTGTTCGCCAAGGAGCTGCTGGTGACCTTCGGCTACAGACCATCACCACCACCACCATCCATATGCATCTCCACAACTCTGATGTGCCAAGCCTTTACACCCTCGCCTGTTCCTGGCAGCGCCACCTCTCCGTCTCCGGTGGGCTGTCACTCCTCACCTCCCTTTGTTCCAGCCGGCGCCATCGTGGCATCTCCGATGGACCAAGTCACCTTACCTTCACCTGGTCCGGACAGCGCCACCTCCTCGTCTCCGGTGGGCTGTCACATCTCATTACCCCCTGCTTCAGCTGGCACCATCGTGGCACCTCCGATGGGCCGAGCTTCCACTCCATCACCTGTTCCTGACTGCGCTGCCGCATCCTCTCTGGTGGGCCGTCAATCCTCCTCTGTTTCTACCAACGTCATCCCCGCTCCTTCGATGAACTGTCCTCGTTGACGGCGTCGCAACCATCATCAGCTCCAGCCCGTCCACGAGGCTCCGGTCCAGCCCATCCACGAGGTTCAGGTCCAGCCCATCCAAGAAGCTCCAGTCCAGCCCATCCAAGAGGTTCCCGTCCAGCCCATCCAAGAGGTTCCGGTCCAGCCCGTCCACAAGGCTCCGGTCCAGCCCGTCCACGAGGTTCTGGTCCTGCCCATCCATGAGGCTCCGGTCCAGTCCGTCCAAGAGGCTTCGTCCCCAGTCCAGCCCGTCCAAGAGGCTTCGTCTCTAGTCCAGCCTGTCCAAGAGGCTTTGTTCCCGGTCCAGCCTGTCCAAGAGGCTTTGTTCCTGGTCCAGCCTGTCCAAGAAGCTTCGTCCCCGGTCCAGTCTGTCCAAGAGACTTCGTCTGTGGTCCAGCCAGCAGAGACTTTGTCCCCGGTCCAGCCTGCAGAGACTTTGTCCCATCATCAGCCTGCAGAGACTTTGTCCCCTCACCATCCTGCAGAGACTTTGACTCCTCACCATCCTGCAGAGATTTTGTCCCCTCGCCATCCTGTAGAAACTTTGTCCCCTTACCATCCTGCAGAGACTTTGTCCCCTCGTCCTCAAGAGTCTTCGTTCCCTCCACTAGAGTTTCCTGTGTCCCCACCTTCAGAGTTTCCTGTGTCCCCGTCTCCAGAGTTTCCTGTGTCCCCGTCTCCAGAGTTTCCTGTGTCCCTGTCTCCAGAGTTCCCTGTGTCCCCGTCTCCAGAGTTCCCTGTGTCCCCGTCTCCAGAATCCCTTCCTCTTCCTCCTTCTCCTGAATCCCTTCCTCGTCCTCCTCCTCCTGAATCCCTTCCTTGTCCTCCTCCTCCTGAATCCCTTCCTCTTCCTCCTCCTCCTGAATCCCTTCCTCGTCCTCCTGAATCCCTTCCTCTTCCTCCTCCTCCTGAATCCCTTCCTCGTCCTCCTCCTCCTCCTGAATCCCTTCCTCGTCCTCCTGAATGCCTTCCTCGTCCTCCTCCTCCTCCTGAATCCCTTCCTCGTCCTCATCCTCCTGAATGCCTTCCTCGTCCCCCTCCTCTGAAGTTCCCTCTACGTTGTCATCCTCTGAAGTCCCCTCTACATTGTCCTCCTCTGAAGTCCCCTCTTTGTCGTCTTCCTCTGAAGTTCCCTCTTTGTTGTTCTACTCCAGGGTCCCCATTCCCCAGGCTTCCCAGCTCCTGACTCCCCATCGCCGGCCCCCCAGGCTTCCCAGGTCCCGGCTCCTGATTCCCCGTCGCCGGCCTCCCAGAGTTCCCTGTTCCCTGGTTCCCCGTTGCCGGCCTCCCAGAGTTCCCTGTTCCCTGGTTCCCCGTCGCCGGCCACCCAGAGTCCCCTGTTCCCTGGTTCCCCGTCGCCGGCCTCCCAGAGTCCCCTGTTCCCTAGTTCCCTGTCGCCGGCCTCCCAGAGTTCTCTGTTCCCTCCTCGCCCGCCCTTTTGGGTTGTTTTTTGTTTGGTCCCTCCTCTCCCACCCTGTGGTTTCTCGTGTCCTGTTTTGTCTTGTTTTTTGTCTGTGGTGTTGTTTTGTTCGTGTTTTTGGCATCTGGTATCCGCCCCTTGGGGGGGGGGGGGGGGGGGGGGGCACTGTCATGGTCTGTGTCGGCGTCTCCCTCATGTGTCTCCTTGTGTGCTCTATTCCCCTCTAAGAATCCCCTTATGTGTCTCTTTGTGTTCCTCATGTGTCCCCTGGTCTTCAGCCCTCCAGATTATCCCTCCCAGGTCCTG